TGATCCTCCACAGGAAGTACAAGCGCCTCTGTTATCTCTTGACCATTGAGGTGGTGTTTACATTTCAGTTGAGGTTGTCTGTGATGTGCACCCCCGGGAATTTGGTTCTACTGGCCACCTCTACAGCTGAGCTGTTGATGAGCAATGAAGGGTGGTTAGGCCGGAATTTGACCTTCAGAGGACGAAGGCGCTGAATTTGAACTCAGCACGAGAACGGGCAAAATCCCCAGATTTTGTTCTCGTCCCTCCGTCTTTACCCAGCAGGTCTCAGAGCAGACTTGTCTGCTGTAGGTCAGATCTGCTCAGGCCCGTGACCATTCTGATGACGTCATCATATGGCAACTCCACTCGGACAAACTGTATTGCACCTGTTTTTTAAAGAATTAATTCTCTTTTGGAGTCTCCACATGTTATAACCCATATTTGCTATTATTTTACATTTCATTAGTGATCTAAAGTATCCGAAAGTAGAAAACAATCATTGTCAGTCTTGAAGGGAAGCACTACATTCTATCAACAGGAAAAACTTAATCGATCATTAGACACGCTAATGCTACAGATACTCCCAACTCGGCACACGGACGCTGCATGATGTTATTATAGTTATCTGGGTAACCACAATGTTTTACATCATGTGGCAACTTTCAGCCACTCATGTAGCGTAACGAGCAGATCTGGTACCTACACAGTTCTCCAGATTGACAGCTGTCCCGGCATGCACCACACCTGTAGCAGCTTCCACCTTAGCGCTAACAGAGCTCAGAGTATTAAGTTAGAAGTTCACTTTTTGTTGCCATTGTTCTACAAAAGTATGTTTTGAAAAGATATAATCCAATTATTATCTAGAGAGCAATAACAACAGGAGGGGAAATGCACGTCCAGACTAGCTTTGAATATCGTGATGTCACGAGTACGCTTCTGTTCAGATTGACCCAGATTTATTCTGCGTGTTCTCGTTCTCGTTGATTCCTTACTTTTCTGTGTTCTCGAGAACGTACTTGCCGAGAACCTGAGTCCATACTAGCGTTCTTGTGAACTGACAAACAGCCCATCCATTGGTTTACATTCTCCTCTTAAAAATTACAAATGTGTTTCAGGGTTCAGTGACAGGATTTTTTTTTTTATCATTTTAACTATAATTTCAAAAAAATTACAAACCTGTTTAGAAACTTTTGGTTCTTCCTCAATGTACTTCTGCTCTGCAGGAACCACAGTCTTTATAGCAGCCTTTATCTGCAGGAATGCAGGGAAATGAAGCAAATAAGAAAGCTTGTTTGAACCTCATGGATCCATCCTGGGCTTATGAGTATAAGACCAACCACGCTGAAACAGAGTGACGCTCACAGTGTTGTAGATGACTTCGATTTCCAGGAAGATGACTCCTTTCGTGGACCCGGTGAGCTCCTTGTTTTTCAGCACGTATGCTTTCTGGACGCCGTTGCGGACCTAAAACACACAGACCGGTGTTATGAACCATGAGCGGCTCAAGTTTATTTTACCAGCAACCTTTAACACTGGGAAATTATTATATTTTATTTACCCATCAATGTTTATTAATTGGCTGGTCACAGATCAGACCTAATGCAGAAGAGCCAGCAGGCAGCTAAAAGCAGGAAGCTGCAGTGTTTATCACCCAAACTATAAAGAGCCTGGTGCCAAATTAATTCAGAAGAGGATTAATCTCTCCATCCTTGAGAGAAATATCAGCTGTGCTGCTGCCATCAACACCTTTGTTTATAGATGTTGCAGCATGCACTGTTTTCCAGTGTAGTCCTGTTTTTCTGACTGTGACTGGCTGGATGTCCTCTCTCCGTCCTCTGGCATTGGAGCTGGCTCGGAGCTCGTCTGCCTGGCTGTTTGTTTCCTGGATTAGGCTGCATTTAAACTTGGCTTTTCTATCTCTGCTTCTGTCTCCTTGAACCTCAGTCAGCCTCAGCAGATGGCCGCTCACACTGAGCCTGGTTCTGCTGGAGGTTTCTTCATGTTAAAATGGAGTTTTCACTGTCACTACAAGCATGCTTAGTGTGAGGGATTGCCTTCGAGTCAGTGATGCAATCAACTGGTTTTCCTTAGATAGAAAACTTTGAATAAATTTCACTGGATGATCTGGTGAACTGTAAAGCACCTTGAGATGACATGTGTTGTGAATTGGTGCTATAGAAATAAAATGAATTAAATTGAATTCTTCTGCACCATTATGCTAAATAAGGATTTAATTAACCCTGTCATAAATCAATTCCTTGTAACAATTTCCAGGCTGTTGTAGGTCCTGCAATTGCACACAGTGCAGGGATTTACAAAAAGTGAAGCCTAATAGCAAAATAAAAAAAACATGATTCCTTTAAAAGAAAGATTCAGCCAATCAAAAACTGTTGTGTGCAATACCTGTATATGCAAAATGGACGTTTGAAAGCATATTTCCTCTGATGCTGTCTGTCTAATCCGGGGGTCGGCAACCCAAACTATTCAAAGAGCCATATTGGACAAAAAAATAAAAATAATAAACAATCTGTCTGGAGCCACAAAAATGTAAAAGCCTTATATAAGCCTCGTATAGCAACACGGGCTCTAAGTGTATTATCCCACTATAGAAAAGGACTATATGGGCTTAAAATATAATAAGCATTCACGATTAAATGTTTATCCTGAAGCAAATGTCACATAGTAGCCTGAGGTGACGGAGGAACCATGAACACTCCCATCGCGCACCGCTTCACCGAGCGCCGCTTCACCACCTTCACCGCGCTGTTTAAGTTTTCTTGCATTGATGAAATTATATAAACACAATAAAGGAATCTTTCTATGGTGGACATGTTTCTGTTGGGAAGAGTTTATTGAGTCATGAGGAACCAAGCAGGAACTGACACCCATCAGAGCAGAGCTCTCTAACCCTGAAATCCCACATCCTCTGTCACCATCGTTTCTTGGTCTGATTAATATTTTTAGGATTTGGGGAAAAAATGGAAGAAAGTTCAGATACCTGCATCAAAGCGCTGCCTGTTTGATCTGTGGACGGTTTTCCATCCTTGCAACAAAACTAGCAGTAGTAGTGGAGTTTGGAAATGCAATCCACTTCTTAAATCTATCTTTGCGTTCCTCTAATTTATCCTGCAATCGCACTTCTTCTCTCACTCCCAGCTCGGTGGTCGGCTGCAGATTTAGCCTTCCCTGGAAACGCCTTTCCAAATTTTTATTTTTATTTTTTGACAACCTCTCATTACAAAGCAAAAATGCAGGCAATCGTGCATCATTGATAATGAAAGCAAATGAGTCGGCCTATTTGAATCCTCTTTTCTCATCAGTAATCTTCCTTTTTTTCCCTTTGGGACTCATATTCCAAGACACACCTGCAGCTTTGTTTGCCTGGCACCGCGCCACGCTGGTTCCAAGTTCTGACCACTGATTTCTATGGCTTTGACGCAAATTATTGTTTAAATTTATTTATAATACAAATGTTTAAAGCATTGGAAAACATTAACTTTTGTTTGCAACCTGTACACCATATTGAAAGAAAAAAGAAAATCGATTTTCATAAATTTTTGAAAAAGCTCCAGGGAGCCACAAGGGGGTGGCTAAAGAGCCGCATGTGGCTCCAGAGCCGCAGGTTGCCGACCCCTGGTCTAATCTGACTAAGTACAGTACAAACATTAATGAGAACACTTGGAGTGTGACTGAAGTAAAACCAGCGGATTGACTAAAGATTCCTCTGTGAGGAACACAGGAATCATTTTTCTTCTACTTCATCATTTTATGTTGCATTGCTTAGGTCTTCCATATACAACCTTGTTAAAAAAAAGAAAACTATAAATACATTTATAAATAAAAAGCGATGTGAGCTTTACTACTCACATTTAGTAGAGGGATGGCTACTTTTCCCAGGAAATCTGCACTTCTGTCTCTGTCTTCATCAAACACTGACACCTCAAGGACTGAGTGGACATCTTTCACGTTGCTGAGGAGAGAGGAGGAATGAGAAAAGCCGTCAGCTAAACATCAGAGCTGTGCTTCAGAGATCCCAGCTGGATGAGGAGCCCAAGATTAGTTAACCTAGAGATGAATGAACCTGACCTAATAAATATAATTGTTCAGTTTTATGGCATTCAAATGTTTTAACCTCTGAAAAGACCTTAAGTGGGGGTAATGATTCAGAATGCATAAAATTTTTACCAGCAGGTGGAGCCATTGCGCGCAGCTCCAAGCTGACACCAAAAGTTTCATAGCCTACAGCTCTGGAAGCATTATAGCTAGAGGTCTGAAATTTTCTACATGTGTGGTTGACATGGTGTAGAACAAATATAATCAAATAATAAAACCTGCCTGTTTTCAAGAATATCCTTATTACTGCTGTTCAAAAAAGACCAATAATTTCCAAGAATAAAAAACAACAACTTTGAGTCATGTTTGAACTGATGCAGGTTGGTCTGTGTTCTAGTCACCCAATTTTAATTTATTACATACTGAGTAACTATATGAGCAGTTGTGCTTTGCAGCATACATACATCATATCAGAATATTCTATTCTCTTGACAACGAATATTTAAATGTACTAAACCTTTTCTTTGTTTTCAGCAAAAAAAAAATTGAAATTTGTTTAATATTCAGGGATATTGTGTGCCTGCTCCACACGTGACACTGAATGGAGCTGTCGACCGCTCCAAGATGGCGCCACCAAATCACGTCAGCTTCCATTGGCGAAAGCTGTCGATGTGAGGTCTACTCTTTTTATCAACCTGAACCGTCTCTGTCTGTTTTCTTTTTAGAAAATGACACCAAACTACAAGATAAAACATCCTATATCAGAGAAACAAAGACATGCCTGATCGGGTGAGTGTCAGATCTTTTTTATTTTTTATCTGTTCATTATAAAAACAATTTTAAGCTAAGTTAACTCTAGTTTGTGAGGGTATGGGGTGAATTTCGTTCCAGTATTGTTTCAAGCAAACATGTTTTGCAAATAGAAATGAAAAAATGCAAACCCATTGTGAAACTGAAAAACCTCATGCTAAAAATCGTTTTAAGGAGTAATTTGCTGTTTTTAACATTTTGTTTTAGAGATTATACAAATATTTTTTTCTTCAAATTTATGTTCTTTATATTGTTTTTTTTACGAATTGCATACTTCTCAATATGCATTTTACAGATAACATTCTCTGACTCTAAGCACATACTGACCAATAAAAGTGCTGCTGCTGACGTTCATGAAGACCAACTGTTTCCACTTTGGTTCTAGACACTCAAAACATGACTGTTTCTATTAGCTGAATGCTTTATTTTAGGATATTATCTTTGTTTCTATTTTTCTCTGCTTATTTTTCTCTAAACCATTTTGCAAACAAATAATCCAACTAATTCCACATCCTAAAAGCCAAGCACTTGTGTATTCAGCTTTTATATTTTGTAGTTTTAAACTTTCTTCTATATTTTTGGTCTTTCTGCATGTATTGAACTTTTTAACAACAAGCTCATAACTCAGAATGACTCGGCCTTTTCTAGCAGCTCAGACTAGCGGAAAAAAAAACAAAAAAAAAAACGTCCACAGCCCTGTGATGAAAACTGAATACGACTCACAAGGTGAAGACTTTGTTCCACTCAGGGTTGAGATTTTTGTATATAGTATGTGTCTGCAGTCTGTCGTTATTCAGCTCCAGCACGCAGAAAGGGTCACTCTTTCCTGAAAAAGGTAGAAATCAGATGAGAGTGCCTGTTTTAAGGAGAGGTGAGACAAAACAAGGAGAAGAATCAGAAGGCTCTGATACCCGTTACGTCTGCAGCCATAAGTCCTTCTGCTCTCAGCACCTTCACCTGGACAATACCCACGTCCTTCAGATTAAAAAAGGACTTCCTCAGACTCTGCAGAAAACAAGGTGTTCACTGGGATTTAGATATCTGAAAATGTTGCAGATATTTAGACTTAGACAAACTTTATTCTCATCTTGTACAAACAGAGTGTATAGAAAATGAAATTTCAATGTATACAGCTTTTCACAGTGAATGAGCATCTTACAATAGTGAAATGAACATTACCATTTATAAAGTGCAGCAGTGATCAGGAATGTAGACAGTGTAGGAGAAAATGAAAACCAGTTTAAAGTCATAAAATCAGAAAGATTGATAGTTTGGCACTAACATATCGTTTGAGGATCTCTCTGCGCTCCTCTGGGTCCTCCAGCGGCGTAAGGGACAGGTCAGCGATGGAGACGGCGGCGGAAGCAGTCAGAGTGACCAGTAGATTCAAGATGCCACGGGACTCCTCCAGCGGCAGCTCCAGGTGATGGGTCTTCTCTTTCGCCAGAGTGGAGAGGTCTAATTGGCAGCTGGGAGAGAGCAAACAAGGATTTGAGCTCATTCTCTGGAAGCTAAAAGCAAAGTCTGGCTAAAAATCCTGAACAAGTGGTTGGTAGCCCTAAGGATGCATCATTTAATTGTACCAGAGAATTTCCTTTTGGTTTTGGTTTTTAACACTGGAATAAAGAGTGAGGCATTTTATTAAATATCAGTTACATATCAGTTAGAGAGGCTCAGGTTATCCTGAGCTATCTCTATAGCTATGCTGCTATAGGCTTAGACTGCTGGAGGACATAGAGACGCCTTTTTCATCATTCTGCTTCATTCGATCACTATGCTCCCATTCTGCAGTATTTGTAAGTTTAATCTCAAATATTTTTCTTGCTTTCTCTGCTTTTTCTCATAGTAGCTTCATCTGTTCTGTTCCTGTTTGACCGCGACTCCATCCTGAAGAGAACTATCAGCTGTGCTGCTGCCATCAACACCTTTGTTTTTTAGATGTTGGAGATTGGCCTGTTTTTCAGTGTAGTCCTGTTTCTCTGACTGTGACTACATGTAACTGGATGTGCTCTATTCATCCTCCCGTCATGGGAGCTGGCTCGGAGCTCGTCTGGCTGTGTTTCCTTGTTGGGCTGGTTAACAAGTTGCTTTTTGTATCTCTGTTTCTTTCTCTATGTCTGCTTCTGTCTCCTTGAGCCCCAGTCGGCCTCAGCAGATGGCCACTTAGACTGAGCCTGGTTCTGCTGGAGGTTTCTTCTTGTTAAAAGGGAGTTTTTCCTCTCCACTTTCGCTGTAAGCATGCTAAGTGTAAGGGATTGCTGAAGAGTCAATAAGTCGATGCAATCAACTGGTTTTCCTTAAAAAGAAAAATTAGAATAAACTTGACTGTATGATCTGGTGAACTGTTAAATGCCTTGGGATGACATGTGTTGTGAATTGGTGCTATAGAAATAAACTGAATTGAATTAAATGAAGCTGATTCTAACCGTCCGATGAAGTCGTCTCTCCTCCCGGTGTCTTTGTCCCACACTGTGATCTCCAGAACGCCTCCTGTTTCTTCATACAGATGAAGGTCAAACTGCTCCCTCCACTGAGGACTCAGGGTCTTTGCCATCGTCTGCACAAACACACAGGATTTGTTTGATGTAAAGGAAACATCATAAATACATTTAAAAGCCGTTTTTCTTAGAAAGCTCAGACAAGATGTCTCCTCTGTTTAACCCACCTTGCTCTTGTACTTCTGTGGTCCCAGCCTGAACTTGGCATAGGGGTCACTAAGGCCGTTGGGGTCCATGGGTGTGAGGTTACGACCTTCGATTAGCGTGATGCTGACGATCCCTCGCCACAGCTGGGATTTACGGTGAACCTCAGTGAGACGCATTGACTGCTGCTGCTGACCCAAACGCCCCCAAACACAAACAGATGTTTTCACAGTTAGGAACAAGGTCAACAAGAATCTGTTCTTAATTTCTCTTAGGTTATATAAAAAGAAGGCTGGCATAAACTTAATGAGAATCAGGATTGAGCAAAAAATATATATTTTTTTAATCACTTCAAGGTTTGGTTGTTCTTGTCTGAATATTAATTTTGAAACATTTGACCTACAAGCATAACACCAGAAATCTAAAATTGAAAGTGACACAGAAACATGGCAGCATCATGCTGTGGTGGTGCTTTTCTTCAGGAGGACCAAGAAAACTGACCGATTGGAGGATGAAGTAAATATGAACAACAGTATCCTGATTTGGAAGAAAGGGCGGACGTTTTTTATTTATTTTTTTACCTTGGGAGGGTTTTATAAAGAGCTTCACCAGAATTCAGGAATACAAATATGGTTGCTAGCCCGACTGCTGATCCAGATACACGTTTAAAAAAATTTCACTAAAAAACAGCATTCAATGCTCGTGTGACCAGATGCTAACATGTTTTTAGCCTTTTTTAAATAAGGTTATGGCAACTTTATTTAAAAATAGAGGTTTAAACAATAATATGACATCAAAGACTGTGTTTTCTGATCAACTTATTATATTTATTGCTATAACATGACAGAAGAGTTTTTTTTTAAATAGATGTGGCCATTGAAGACTTTAAACAGATGTTCTGGACTTTGGTCCAATAAGTCACATTAAATTCAGCTTCAAGAAAGGAGCGTTGGTGAATATAACATATGAGGAATCTAACAGGAAAAAGGAAATGCATTTAATATTAAACTATAGGGAAGAGAACAATAATTAAGGTGCTAGGAATGTTAAGATGATGCCGTGCCTGCAGACAGTCACACAGGGATTAGGATGGTGATGGTTTACCTTCGTGGATCGTTTCCAGGATCTCCTGAGCAGCATGGTCTGAGGACATATTAAACACATGGTTTAGATCAGCATCTGGTTACATGTTGAAACTAAACTCTAAAACAAAACACCATGATCTATAGCACGCTATGTGACAGCTCTACTTTGACTAAATGGAGCTAGATATGGGGAGGAGCATGTTGGGTTGATTTATTCAAGCCCCCAAAATAGAGCAAAAACAGATTTTAGAGTTAGAGAAGGGGTTTATTTACCACAATGTATTTTTCTTTCTTCTTATCAGCATTTCATTCTGGTTAAATATCTGACTTGTGCTGCAGTAGAGGCTGAGAGTCGGGTTATTATTATTTCATTCAGTGAATAATACATGAATGGGACAGGCTGTGCTTAATGTCTTGGGGCTTCGGGTGCATTTGAAGACATCCTAATGCTGACAACAAGTGAAGCTGAACGAAAAGAAAAACAGCATGCAGGTCTAAATATCAAAATGAAAACCTCTTTTTGTCGGATTTGGAACACAAGAGGTTTTCTGTATTCTCTAAAGCAATCCCTGAAAACACAAAGACTTTGCTATGTGGTTAAATGATCCCAAAATCAATCAAATAATATTTTTCTAATTCCACCGTGAACCCTCTAACATACATACACTCGACTGAAAACAACCAATCAGGACCAACATAAGTCTTGAAACAATGCTGAGAATAGCTGGTTGAAGATTCTCAGTCATCCAGTTTATATTCATTCCAAAAAACTAAAAAATTAATCCACTGGACTTTGATTCCAAGTTTGAAGACATTTTGCTTCCCATCCAGGGAGCTTTTTTAAATCAAAATGTCAGGAATAGGGTTGAGTTAGAGGCTTGCGGAATACTGGACTGGGGTCCAGTGTCCACACGCTGGCTAATATGAACTGAACCTGATTTAAAACATTTAAATATTACTGCATGTTGTCCGACGGCAGTGTCTAATTTTACTTGCGCTGCTTCTCCTGTTAATTCGTCACCAGGCTACACATGATCCAAATTAGCCAATGAGCTGCTGTCAGGCTGGGTTGCTGCTGCTGCTACTTTTTGATGCAGCAG